GCTTCTCAAAATTCTTGGTTAGTCTATAGAGGGAAGAATGCTTTAAAAACTGTGCCTCTGTAAGGGAGATAGGCTACTTATAAAGCATCTTAAAGCAACCAAATATACTGTTGATCTTTTCACAGAACTAACCTTTAAAATGCATCATAGTCAAGGTCTTCCACTTTAGGATACAGGGTTATATTGTATTTTACATGAATAGACATCTTTAGACCTATGCATTAAAAGGAGACTAAAGAGGGAACTCAATACATAATATTTTAAGATGAGATAAAATTTCATTTGTTTCAGTTCAATTCAAAGGGTCAGACTGATATAAAGAAGCACATTTACATTTAGTAATTTTATAAACAAGGAACAAACAAAAATGGACAGGGTAGAAGAGACAAAAATCAGGAGTAAAATGTAACTCTCAATCCCATCTTAATATATGTAAACACAGAAGAAGTTGGTGTCCTACCCACAACCCCTTGGCACTCACTGTTCAGCATGTTCCTGCATAATCACTGCTGGCTTCCTACCAAGCAGCTGCACCTATCTGCCAAAGAGCTTTCCTCAGCTGCAGAAGCATCATCAGCAGGCAGGATGAGCTGGGGTGTTTAATATCCCTGGTAGCAACCCCAAATTTAGGCCCTCAGATGGAAAAATACTGAAGCTAGTTTTACACAGTGTGGTGTTCCAAAGGCCCAGGAAGAATATGCCCCAGATGCTGGTCGTAACCTGTTCATTATGGCACCATAAACTGACTGTCATCCCTTCTTTGTATTACTTTCCCATTCCCCTACCAGTTCTTTTGGGATCACCCCCCAAATAAACTACATTTACCCAAATCATTGCTGCTGAAGAAACCTAAACTAAACCATAACCTGACACTGTCTTCTGCATTCTGCTTTCATGGTCCTCCTTATATTATCTAGCATGGATCAACAAACGTTCTTAGAGGGTCAGAAAGTATTTTCAGCTTTGCACGCTATATTGTCTCAGTTACAACTACTCAACTTGTAGCGTGAAAGCAACTATTAACAATATGTAAATAAATTAGGTGGGACTGTGCTCTAATAAAGCTTTATTTACAAAAACAGGCAGCCTGCCTAGTTTGCCAATCCCTGCTAGATTAATAAATGAAGGACCAGTAAAAATTCCAGTTTGATGCTAAAATTATTAATATAGGGGAAAAAAGCAATGGTGGGAAGAAAACTCAAGTTTTTCACACTAATCTTCTGTAAGTATGGCAGAAGCCGGACCACTAAAATGTTCACTTTTCATTTATGTAACTGATAAGAGGAATCAATCGAAGAGGTGTTTGGATCTTCAAACCAGGTCACCCCTTGGCTGTCTGCTCACAGAGTACTCACCGCTAGATAACTCCCCCATCCTAAGTTAAAGCACCCTGTCTCCCAAGGTGAGTCTGGATGGCTATGTATTCAGAGGGAAATCTCTGAGGGTTTAAGGATAAAGAACCCCTGAGGAACTCTATTCTTTATTCAGTTGGCTAATTAACATATTAAAGGCAAAATGAAAAAGCATCAAATTCGCTTAGAGCCCAGAGCCTAGGTGAACAGGAAAGCATGAGGAGATCAATTTTTCTAAGACAATGCATTTCAAAATCCTCGTTCTTTACCTCTCTTAGGTGCATCTATTATTCATTCTCTTGTTTTCCCCTATTTCTTCAAAATCATCCAAAACATTGTCAAAAAATAATTAAAGATAACAGCATGTTTAGTTAGTTAAGTACATTACTAAATCCCACTTAACCTTCAGAACAACCTCAAGTAGGTTTTCTCATTTCTATTTTTAGATGATAAAAATGAAGGAGAAATTAAATAACATGCCCCAGATCACACTGGAAGTGGCCAAAGCAGGATTCTTAGGTTTGTCTCCAACAAAAAGCTCAACCACTGAAGCAAAATGCCTCTACTTTGCTCCTTCTCTACTGCATGGCAATGGCAGGGAAATAAAGAATATTAATGAATACACCAAATCTAAGTGACTTCTATTTGAATCTCTACAAACAACATCCTACATACAACTAATTGAAATAATTTTGGAATTCATTGTTCTCTCTTCTGTTGAGCAACAAACTTCCCTAAATATCTCTTATTGTTTAAACTAGAGACCAGCAAACTTTTTCTGTAAAGGGCCAGAGCATAAAACCTGTGAGCCACATGTACAATCTCTGTCTTAAGTACTCAACTCTGCCACTGTAGCACAAAAGCAGCCATAGACATTATGTAAATGAATGAGTGTTATTTATGGACACTGAAATATGACTTTCATATAATTTCATGTGTTATGAAATATTTTGATTTTTTTCAACCATTAAAAAATATAAAAACCATTCTTAGATCACAGGCCATACCAAAATGGTTGGTGAGCTGGATTTGGTCCATAGACTACAGTTTGCCAACCATTTTGACAAGTTGTTTGTTACTTGTAGCCAAGAGCACCCCCAACATGCATATATGTAATAAAACTTCAGATAACTACATACATACTTGACAATGAGTTTAAACAGGTTTTCTTCAGCCTGAATCTCTTGGATGGCATAAAGGTCTTTAAGTGAGAACTCCATCAGTGTTCCATGCTTACACCCATCCTCAGAAGTTTTTGTTTTCTGTCCTTTACTATTGCAAATAGAATTTGCTTCAATGTACAAAAGGAACATGCACTTGTCGTTCTTATTTCGAGAACCTGTAAATTCAAAGTATTAAATACAGTAATTGGTATTTTCTATTCCTCTTATAACGACTCAACTAGAAGTAAAAGAAAGTCACAGTGAGCTACAAATGCATTTTTTTAAAGGAAAAGTTTCATCTTATGTAAGCAACAAGGAATTCCCTAAATTATTTGAGATTCAGAAGGATCTTAAAAAGAGAAAAAATGAACACTGAAAAATCATTATTGAGAGACAATCAAAATGAGGAAAGGGTTATATCATACCTTCTTCAGCATTTGAGACTTTGACAATTCCAGTAACAGTCACCGTGTCTCCTGGGACACAGCTATCCACAAGATCATGTACAAGCTCACATTCTATTGTTCGTGGAATTCGACCTGCTTCTCGTTGATCATCAGACATCAGCTCCTGGATTCTAAAAAGTTAAACAGTTTTCAGTTAGAACACATACTTACTTTGGGTTGTTTCTCTAACATATTAACTATTCAGGGTCCACATGAAGCTGAGCTAAATAACAGGCAGATTAGCTTTTTAAAAAGTTCAATGGTGGCTGACTGCAGTGGTTCACACCTGTAATCCTCACACTTTGCGAGACTGAAGCAGGAAGACTGCTTGAGGCCAGGAGTTTCAGACCAGCCTGGGCAACATAGTGAGAACCCATCTCTACAAAAAAGTTTTTCAAAATTAGCCAGGCATGGTGGCACATACCTGTAGTCCTAGCTACTTGGGGGACTAAAGCAGGAGGACTGCTTGAGCCCAGGAGTTCAAGGCTACAGTGCGCTATGATTGTGCCACTACATTCCAGCCTGGGCGACAAAGTGAGACCTTATCTCAAAAAACTTTAATGGTTTATCTAAAATTACTTCAGCAGTTTCCAATTCAGGATGGCAGAATAAGCACATGCATTTGCCTAGCTCTCCTCCAAAATGTTCACTGAAATGAGACACTTAAAGAGTGAAGAGAAGTTTTGGGGTATGCAGAAGTGTTACTAGCAAATGAGATATTAATAAAATTTTTGAAACAGCAAATAGTAAAGTACTGATAGATAAAACAAAATGAGGTCCAGAACACACAAAGGTAAAAGTAATAAGGGTACAAGAGAAGTGGGAGCCAATGTTCTTAGCAGAGCCCTAGAGAAGCTTCCAAGTTGGATGTAGCAGGAATGGAGAGCTGGAGTAGACGGCCAGAAGAAAACTGGATAATCAACTAAAAGACAAGTCACGGACTAGCTGCTTAGAATTTTTTTTGAAGGTAGGTGAACAGGCGGGTAGGGAAAGAATGATGACTTTATCATCCAGCAAAAACTAGAGCATAGTTCTTAGGAAAGGGATCCATCTCCTGTGAGGGGAGCTAAGGCGCCCAGTGAGGATAACAGAGCTTCAGAATAAAGACTCCTCATTTTGGCCTTTGAGAAGCCCTATCCCAATTCAAAAACACATTCATAAAGCAAAATCTGATAGTCAAAACCCCTATCTTCTTATTCAGAGGTGAGAACTCATGAGAAAAAACTCCTATCTACCTACAAAATAGCAAAGGAAGTCTGTACCACCTACTCCAAATAATTTCTCATTTCTCATCAGACATTTTGGGACTAAATGGCAATAATTCAGGGAGGAGAAGGGCATTAAAAACAAAAACCTGCCTAAGAGTTTTGAGAAAATGTTGCCATCATAAAACAAGAATAAGCTGCTAAAAACAAGTACAAAATCAGGAAAATTTAAAACACACATATATAAAAATCATACATTTATAGAAAGGATACAAGAAAAAGCCAAAGAAATCTAGAAAACATTAGAGAGAAAATCAAAGGGTGAGGGAAAAGTTAAGAAAAATAAATAATCCAAGGGATACATCTGACAGGAAGCTCAAAAAGAAATCAATCAGATATTATAGAGTTGAAGACAGCTCTAGAACAAAAGGACCTACCAGTGTCAAGCAGGATAAGGACACAAGTAGATATACCCTCACTGTTTCAGAACAACACAGATAAAATGGTTACAAAAAGAGGGGAAAGTCCAGTCTCCTCAAAGGAATGAGAATCTAACCAGCACCAGACCTCTCATCAACAGCAAGGAAAATTATAACAAAACAGACTTCAGTAGCCAGGCAAACTCTTATCCAGCCTAAGATCCAAATAAAGACATCTTCAGACATGCAAGAACCCAGAACATTTTACTTCTCATGTACTCTTTCTGAAAATTTGAGAAAATTCTCTAGAAAAACAAAATTAGAATCTTAAAAAATAGAAGACAAAGCCCAACAGAACAGTGTGCAATCAATGCAGCAAGACCCCAGTATGAATCAGGGCTGCAGGACTAGAGAAGGACTAATCCACACTCAAGCAGTACTGCAAAAAGTCACTTTATCTATAGAATAAAACAATTATGTGAGGTAGCATATTATCAAAGTTTTAGTATAACTAATTTATTTAAAATGAGTTTGACCAACACATTACTTTTAAAGATTCAAGAAAAAGGCTTAGTCTCTTCTCAACTGTTTACTCCTAAGTGTGATTTCCTAGTATTAGGAAGCCGTCATTTAAATCCAATTAAAATGTAAGTCTATTTTCTTGTCTGCTATTTTTACTTGAAAGCAAAGAGATTTTGTTCAAATAGTTTAAATTTTTGTTCAAAGATTCAGCGTTAAACCAACCTGCATCTTCTCTGCATATGCCCTGTTGTGAACTCTGTACTACTTCCAATGCCCTCATCCCCCTTTCAGTGGTGAAATCCCACATACCTGGCTGGAAATCAGACTCTACTACTCATAGGCCACACAATCATATGCGAGAGTCTTAAACATTTTCCTCTTTTATAAAATGGGGTGTCTGAAAATACCTCAGCATAGTTCAGTTAGTTATTATATATGTCTGCATTGGTTTTCACAGGGCAGAAGGGGTGAAGCTAGCTAGTAGCAAGCCATCTCATCTTTTCCCTAGGTTCTCAGGTTTTTTAGGACCATTTCCTGTTTCAGCTACGTTTCCTGGAGAGTACTCTGACTTCAAAACTACCCATTATTCTATATTTAGAGATGAGTTATAGGCTGATGGCTAAAAAAGTAATTATCAAATGAGAAATACACACACAGAGAAAACTTTGACTTCCAAAAAAAAAAAAAAGCCTATAATAAAATGCCAAATGCCTCATGGACAGCGAGAACAGGAAATGAAACATGCCCATTTCTAAGGGATTCTTTATTTGAAAACTTCCAAACAACATTATTTCTATCACAGCTCATTATAGAATCAATCATATAACTCTGTTTATGGCCTATATCCAGTTCAACGAATCACATAATTGAAATATAAAATCAACTATTTCCCATTAACAACAGGGTATAATATTTGCATATTGAATCCTTTATGGAATCCAACAGAGAATAAATTTCAAATAAAGACTATTATTTCAACACATAAACTCTTCACCAAATAAACCTATTATATACTTTGCCATTGTTTAGATAAAAATCACAATAAAACTCACAGATTTACTCAATGGTATGAGAGACCTAATGCCTGCCTCTTATTTACCGGTCTGATTGCTTACTTGACTGACTGCCAGTCCATCGTAACTGTGAGAGGAGAGCTGCGGAGAGCGGTAAATGACTTCCCTCGACACGCAGGCACAGGACACTGCAACAAGAGTAATTCAGTCAGATTATGATAAACTACAATCACGTCTCAGGAAATCCAAGTTAAAACACTTCATTTAATATTGCTTTAAAAGTTGGTCTCAGGATGCTTTTACAGTAAAATCCACTAAGAGCAGTAATGACTTTCTATTTCCTCTGGCAATGATTTGATATCGTGAGTTTTTGAGGCACTTTTTCAGCTGGTCCATCTCACTTACTGTTCTTATTCTTTCTGCTGTGGGTATGTAAGGTGTCTTGCTCACCTCCCAGACCAAGCACTCCTTCCTTCTTCTGTGCCCATGCAGTCTCCTGCTTCCTGAATGGCCCCTTTCATTCAGACCCATAACCTAGTCCCAATTCTCTCCTTTTCAGAAGCCTTTCCTGGGTCATCTTTAATCCCCAGCTCTCTCATCTAGCCTCCTTTTATACTGTTTGTGTTGTATAATATTTATTGTACTACACAGACATTCTTCTACATATAAGCAGGGTGTGTTCAAGCTTTCAGAAGTCACTTGTTTGGCACTTGGACCTCAAGGTGCATTTACAAATTCAGAGACTGTGGCAGACTGTATTTTCCAAATATGATTGTAGCAGTATTTCCTCTCAAGCCTTTTTATAACCTCCCCAACTCCTCCATCAAGAGATGGAGTCTAATTAACTCTCCTGGAACCTGAGCAGCTTTGTGCCTCACTGTAATCCACAGAATGTGACAGAAGTGATGCCGTATGACTTCCAAGGTTGGCTCATCAAAGGCAAAGCCATTTCTGCGTCAACTGAACCTCCTTGCCTTGAAGCTGTCAGCACCCATATGAGCAGACTGAGTGTCCTGAGCTGCCATACTGTGTGCAAGAAGCCAAAAGTAGCCCACCCAGGGAGACCACATGGAGAGAGAGAGATCCCTGGCCAGCCCCCAGCCACCTTGCTGGACCCCAGCCACCACCTGACTACAACTCCATGAGAGACTTGGAGCCAGAACTACCCAGCTGAGTAGTTTCTCCAAACTCCAGACCCACAGAAATCATGAGAAATACTGTCCACAGAAAATATCCAGTTTAAATCAGGATTTAAATTCTGGCATCTGAGCGAACGGTTGTGCCTTGAACCTTAAGACAAGACAAACAGATGACACCCATCTACTAACACCACTGATTATTCAGAACCAACAGCCAAATCTAACACAACCTGTTCTTGTAGTAAGAGAAACAATTCCTAGGAATTTCAAACGTAAACACTTTGTATTTCCGTTTTAAATTCTTCAAGGAATTATTTACTTCACTAAGGATTCAACCCCTCTACATTAGCAAAAATTTAATAAATGCTAAATTTATTAAAATCCAATGGTGATAAAGGCAACTCTGGAAAAGAATAACAGTTAGGGCAAATATCCCTGCCATATCGAGTTTTAATAAAATCAACATAAAAAAGACTGTTTAGAGTGTGTACAAAACCAATGAAATGAAACAGACTCACATGTCTACAAGAGCACAGGGTACTACCAAGGACACATTATACGTCTATGGTAATAAAGGACTTAATTAGTAAATGGTGTCAGGACAAATAACTTTTCACTTAAATATTAGATCCCTAGGCTTTTTTTTAAGAGACATGGTCTCACTATGTTGCCCAGGCTAGTCTTGAACTCCTGGCCTCAAGTGATTCTCCCGCTTCAGCCTCCTAAGTAGCTGGAACTTCAGGTGTGCAGCACCATACCTGGCTTAAATCCCTAGTTTTATGCTAGTAACGAAATTAATTTCCAGATGGACACAATATTTAAATGTGAAAAAAAAAAGAGAAAAAAGAAACTTAAAAGTATTAGAACAAAATGTAGGAAATATGTTTATAATACTCGAGTGAAAAAGGACTTCTTAAGCAGAGCATGAAATGTAAATGTTATGAAGAAAAAGACTGATCAATTTGATCATGTCAAAATGTAAAACTGTATAACAAAAAAAACCCACAAAGTTAAAAAAACAAACCAAAGACTGGGAGAAGATATTTGTAATATAAATAATCAATAATAATTAGTATCTAGAATATATAAAGAACTCCTATCAATGAACTAACAGGAAAATGAACAGAATATATAAATAGAAAATTCAATAAGGAAGGAAACTGAATGGCCAATAAAGATATGAAACGATGCTCAACCATAACAGAAATCATAGAAATTCACATTATAAATGAAATACCATTTTACACCCACCAGACTGTCAAAAATAAAAAAGTATAACAACACCAAGTGCTAATGGAAATATGGTGAAATGGAAACTGCTTAACACTACCAGTAAGGATGCAAGTTGGAACCAATACTCTGGAAAGTAATTTGGCAACATCTAATAAAGTTAAAAATAAGTATAGCCCCCAAAAAAAGCATAGCCTATAACTTAGAGATTCCCCTGCTTTGGAGACATGTACAAGAATGGTCTCTGAAGCACCATTAGTAATTGTAAAAAACTGGAAAAAAAAACAAATGCCACCACCAGGAAAATGGATAGTGGCTAGTCATTTAATGGAATACCCCAAAATAGTAAAAAAAGAGTTAGATGTGTATTAAAATAGGTAGAACTCCAAAAATAACCAAGTGAAAAAAAGTTGCGGAATGTTACCTTCAGTATATCACATATGTAAACACAGCACAACAAAACTAACCCTGCATATATAGTCAAGAATAAAAATTTAGACTCGAAGAACACATGCCAACTTCAGAATAGTGGCTGCCTCTAAGGATAGAACAAAAGAAAAGAAACGGGAGGGGAACAGAGAGACTTCAACTTTAACTACAATTCTTTGTATGTGCTACAAACTAAGCTAAAATAACAAAATATTAATGATTTGCCAATTCTTAATGGTGAATATATAGATGTTAATTACATTATTCTCCACACTATTCTATAGCTGTAAAATCTAGTCTAAAAAAGTTAATAAAGAAAAAAGAATCAAACACATCACTTCCAAACAGTAGAAGGACTAAAGGGAAAAAAACGCTGATGTGTTTACCTATGAAGTCAAAATATAGAAATATGAAGGGAAAGGATCCACATTAACTTCAGGATAATGATTATCTCTGGGAATGGTACAAGCAAAGGGTAAAAAAGAGACAATTGTATCACTAATGCTTTGCATCTTTAAAAATATATCTGGAGTTAAAATATAAATTCTGGGTGCTATATAAACAAATGTTTTATTTATTTCTGTATTTTCTGTATCCTAAGGTATTTCATAATTTAAAAATTGAAAATAAAAAATAAAAATAAGCTCTGTATTCAGAAACATTGGGAAATATTTTCTGTAAATTGATTAGCCTACTTTACCAAGATAAAGAAAGAAGCAGTTAAAGAACACATCACCTTTGTGGGAAGAGTATATTTTCCATCTGGAAGGGAAAGACTCTGAACTTCTCCACATGCAGCACAAAGAAAAGCCATCTTGGTGCAAAGAGGCTTTATATTACTGACACGAACCACTGTTCCTCTTAGAGCAATGTATTTTCCATAATAATTTGCTCGGACGTTCTTGAGCTGTGTCAAAGGTTCATAGTTGTATACCCTAAAAACAAAAGAGGAAAAAAAAAAAAGAGGAACATATTTATTTATAAATTTACAATGAACAGAAAGTTGATGTTGTCTGTATTTTCACAAGTTCCTTTCAGAAGTAACTATGCAATTCTCAAACCATACCATCCTTTTACACAGCACAAATTTCACAAGAAATTAAATCATTCTTAAAAATAAAAAAAATGCTAAATCTTCCCCTTTCTTCTTATCACATAGGTTCTGTTCTTTTCTAGGGAAAAAGAAAAAAAAAATTAAAAAAATAAAAGGAAAAAAGTAAGGCCAAAAGGAAAATCTATGGATTAAAAAACTTTGGGGTTTCTAACTTCTTTTTAAAGAACTCTAAGGAAATGTCTTCTACAAATTCTGGATAAGAAAAACAAAACTCTGATGATTACCTTATAAATCTCTTCTAATGAGTTTAAAATCTTAGAATAAAGATGAATTTTTAAAAATTTCATTTATTCCCTTGTATCTAATAAAAACTTAATAATTTCCCCCATAATATGCTGAAATAAAAAAAAAAACTTAATAATTTAACAAAATATATACCACTTTGTGTATTACAGATTAAGTATATCCCCTATCCAAAATGCTTGGGACCAGAAGTGTTATGGATTTTTTTCAGATTTTTAAATATTTACATTACCGGTTAAGCATCCAAAATGTTCCAATGAACATTTCCTTTGAGTGTCACGTTGGTGCTCACAAAGTTTTTAATTTTGGAGCATTTCGGATTTTGGATTTTCAGATTAGGAATGCTTAACGTACATTGATTATTAAATTTACACAGCAGGGTCTTGGTAAGTTCACATCCAAAACCAATGCTTACAAAAATCTGCAGGCTGGGAAATTTAGGAAGAAAATGTTGAGTTCTATCAAGATCTCTGCGTAATTTACAGTGGGTTCACTTTGATACAATGATCAATGAGCTAGGAAGGAACTCATACCCTTTTTACTGATTCCTTTGTTTTTACAGAATTAGGTTCTCATTCTTACATAGTCTTCAATGCCCTATTTCAAATAGTACTTTAATCCCAGCAAATTCCTCACCTTGCATGAATGTGTGGCACATTTACCATTGTTTCTCCATCAGTAGACAATCCTTCCTGGGCTTGTAATTCAGCTGCATGCGTTTCAAGGTCCTTAGTTAATACCTAAACAGGACAGACATTTACTCCAAAGTTGGAAAACAAAATATCCTCTTTAAGCAGAACTCTAAAGAGAGTATGAAGTTTATGAATAAAAACAGTTCAGAACAAAATAAAAACAGAACTCTAACAGCCCTTTAAAAATCTGACATTTAATTGTGACTACTTATTTTATAGTGGATTATGTTTTAATTGGGATTTTCTTGTCTCTGGACTGGAAAACTCTAGCATTCTTGTCTGCTATTTTCTGTCCCAATGAAACCTAATATTAAAAGTCCTCATAGGAACCCCCCAAACCATTACCTTCTGGTTCTAATAATAATTTTTTTTTTTTTACTTCTCCATATTCACTGATTTATCAAGACAGAGAAAATAAAGATGACCTTTAAAATACCTAATACCCACTCCCTTGGCATTTAACATTAAATAAATATTTAATACCTGCTTGTGTACAAAGCAGTTTGCTGACAATCTAAGATACAAAATAAGATAGATATACATATAACTGTAATTGTTATAAGGACCATAAAGATTTACAGACAAAATACCATGAGAGTTTGAAAAAGTGCCATGAGAAAGGTTTCAAAGAGAGACAACTGGGCGAGGCCCAAAGAATCTGGATACGTAAGATGAAGGGAATTCTACGTTGAATGGACAGCATGTGCAAAAGGCAGCAGTATTTAGACAATACTAGAGGGAGCTCAGCTGAGTTGGAATGTAGTGAATGAAGGACAGTAGTGGGGAAATAAAGTTGAGTCCGATCATGGAAGGCTTCAATGCCACATAAAGGATTGTGACTTCATTTAGTAGAAAAGAGCCATCACAGTTTCCCAGAAGAGATCATGTTTTACAAAGCATAGCAACAGTTTAGCAATGATAATAAAGGCTTAGCCTAAAACAGAAGCAGTAAGGATGGAAAGGAGGTGGATTTAAAAGAAATTTTAGAAAGAGAAATGAAAAGATGTGGTGACTTGGATATGGGGAAATAATGAGCCAGTGAAGTCTGAAGACAACAGTCAAGGCTCCCAGTTTAGGGTTACTAGCAAATGTACACATCTTTATGATGAACTGTTCCTGGTACCTGGATATCCTTACCTTCCCTGCTCTACGTCCAAATTCTAGTTACCCCTTTAAGACCTAACAAACCCCACCGTTTATGTACTCTTCCTCTGAACTTTCCCCATTCTTCCCAACAGTTGAGGGTCTTTTCTTTACCTATATGAATGCACCCAGCACTTTATGCCTGTCCTGAGATTTGCTATTCTTTACCCTGAAGCATTTATCTGTTTGCTGGCCTAAAAAAACCTTTCACAAATGCTGTGTCACTTGACCCTTAAAAAAAACTCAGGCAGGCACAGTACGAATTGTTATTTCCATTTGATATATACAGGGACATTCAGCAAGATTAAGTGATTTGCCTTATGCCACAGAACCTATATCTGAGGTTGGTCTTTTTGCTCCAAGTTCATAACTGATAACATGAAGATGCCTTGCTTTATCTTCCCTATGAGACAGTATAGCTCCTTGAAAACAACGTTCACGTTCTGGACAATCTTCAATGAGATTAAACAAATTCAAATAAGTTAGAAATAAATGCTTTACTTAGGTAAGCTGTTGTATATAGATACCTATGAATGGCTATCTTTTAGGACAGGATTGCAACCTTTCAGTTCTAGCCAAAATCTTTTGGTAAAAGCTAAGTATCTTTTAGAGAAGGTACTGTCACTGTGAAATCTTCCTTTAAAATTCTGAAAAAAGTCTGCATAAAATAAATATTTACCTGATGTATTGCCAAACCCATGCAAGCCAAGGTTTCCTCAGGAGCATCTCTTAGTTCATTTGCTATATTTGGTATCAAGTTAGTTATTTCATCATCTTTTGTTAGTTCTTTAAAATCCACCAAAATACTTCCCTTTCTTTCTATTTCATCCTATAAAATATGAAAGTATTAAAACAATAATTATTTTTTGTAGTCAATCATAACTGAAAAATCAATTATACAATTTTTGAGAAAGCATATAATATTTACGTGGTGATAATGGCAAGCATTATGTATGTATAAGCTTTGTGCCAAGCATGGTTCTAATGCTTTAAATTTATTAACTTATTTATGCTTCTTAACAACCCTTTCAGGTAGATATTTATAGTCCTATCTCTAACTGAAAGAGAAAACCGAAGCAAAGAGAAATTAAGTAATTCACCAAAGTCTACACTGCAGGAAAGTGGCAAGGATGCAGTCTAAACCAAGGCAGTCTGACTCCAGTGCCTATTTTCACAATCACTAGCACCTCAAACACACTGTTCAATAAGATGACACATAAAGGTGGACTGGCAGTTTTGTTGTAAAGAATCTTACCTTGTCATAGAAATCAATATGCCTTGTGAAAAATTTTTCAAATGCTTGAATCTTCTCAATAAAAGGAGAGCTACTGCTGTAAACTAATCCAACAAATATGGCATCAGCACTAATAATCACACATGTACAAGCATATTTTTCATGAGATCAAAGAAATACTACATACATGATAGGTGATTATTTTCTAATTGCTTTATATTTTGATTACATTTAAATAAGAACTGTTATAGAATATATACTCAAGATTCTAAAACAAATTTAGGTCTGTATAACCTGAAATGCAGACAGGAAGTGCCTCTCTCTAAAAGCCCCAATATTTGGAAACTTTGTATTGAATCTCTGACATCTAATAGAGCATATTAGTTCAGATAGCTTGCACAAAAAACTTAAACCAAAGCCAGACACATAAATTAAACTTTTATTTTGAACAAGAAATGAAGACAATCACAGTCTTTCCTGAGATCAGGAGAGAGACCAATACTTAATTCTGATCCCAAAATTGTAAAGCTATTTTTTTTTTACACCCTAAAGTTTTGTAATATTTTCAAATTGGTCTCCCACAGAAAGACAATATAATGAAGTAGTTTGGAAGAATAGCTGGTCAAACCTAAGGCACCTCTTGAACTCCATCTTTAGGACCAGTCCAAAGATCACTTATAGTACAGTGTACTAAGCTACCTGTTAGGGGAATAATATGAGTATTGAGGTGGCTAATGCATCCTAAAGCAACCAAAGATCACTTGTGAAACACATCTGTCTATTTAATAGAAAAAAAAAAAACAAACTCCCCAACGAAAAAACATTTGTAAAGTACTCTATTCATTCACAAAATGAATACTGAGTGCCTGGTACAGGGCAGGGTCCTTGACCTCAAACAGCGTAGTCTAGTGGGATGGACACACACACACACACACACACACACACACACACACGTATGTATAAGACCCATACCTCACCAAAAGAGATATTTTAAGAGCACATAGATATTTTAAGAGCACACAGATATTTTAAGAGCACAGAAAAGACAGTTCCCCACACCTATGTAGATAGATATATAATGTTAGGGGGTTTTCTTGCTTATCAAAGGGAGATTCCTTAACTGTGTTTCTAAACAAAGTTGCATTGGTTACTGCCTCCTGGTTCCAAGCTGACCGTTCTATTTTCTGCTCTATGATGCTATGATCAAGATCTACAGCCTCCATTTCCCAGACTCTCTTTAAGTTCTGCCTATCGGAGGCACTTTAGAGACTGGAAGGCAGCAGGAAGTAGGAAAGGAATTTATTCGTTTCTAACTCTTTGCAGCATCTCTGCAGCTGCACAAGATAGTTACAGTTCTAGTCTCAAGCCCTGAGCACCGAGTAACGTCCTCTCAGCCACCAGCAGCAACCAGCTTCATTCACCATGGTGGTCTGAGCACAGCTCTGTAGGGCAGTCTTTAGAGGTCCAAGCACAGCATTCTAGAATGCCCCTCAGATGTCAAAACGATAGCTATGCTGTGCTTCCCCGCTCCTGAATTCCTAGGTTTTGGTAACCTCAGAACTTCTTAACTTTTGTTCCCTCAGTCATAGGGATGGTTGCTGTTTCCTAAAAATACCACTTTCAGTCTTCCACCTGTATATCCAATTCCCTGTATCAAATCCTCTTTTTGAAATACATAGCATGGTTTCTGTTTTCCTGACTGATACAAAACCTAAAAACAATGCTCTTGAAACATAAACATGATTTGTTTGGGTGAACTAAGATTAAGGCGGTACATGTCAGTAAGCCAAATGAATTATAGTAATATGAGAGATAGCATCCAAAGACAAGTTAAGAAAATATAATTTATGATACTTTTTATACTTTTAGCTCTACCTTCAGAAAAATAAAGCTTCCAGCCTTTATATGGTATGCTTTGATCCAATGTTGACTGATGTAGCAAAGACTGTGGGGTTTGTTCTGAAAAAAATAGAATACTAGGTTAGTAGAAACAGAGCAAACTTTTTCCCCCAAATTTGCTCCTCTTTCCAACAACGAGAACCTGATATGACATTAATAGAGTATTTAAATTAGAGGTTTTGGTAAGAATTGGGGATATTAATATTCAAATACTTGCTAAGGAGTAGCATCAAATAACAGATCAAAGTTTGAGATAAACTGTTTTGTGTGATAGTCATGAATCACTTCCTTCATGAACAGAAAAAAATTGAAAAATCATTGACCTCACCTACCAGAATTATGTTTTCCCACGGTTTTACTCAAGTTAGGTCTGTGTTCTCTTTCTCTCCATTTTCCTGAAAAGTTTCCACCACTTCTTCCTCTTTTCCAGCTTTGAAATCTTCCTCGTCCAAATCCTCTGCCTCTTTGCTCTCCATTCATGTCTTCCAAAAGACAGAGATTAGAAGTCTTCACCAAAACTATAGGGGAAATAGTGCTCCTTAAAATGTACTAATAGTAAGAAAGGAAAACTTAATGTAGTCTAGGTTTCAGACCAGCAAACAGGCTTGCAAAGCTGTACACTATGGCACAAGACCCAAATATTCTGCAGTTACCCTTTTAATGGTCACTTTTAATCTTCATCACTTTTTAAAGTATACTATAGAGTAATGTTATAGCTTAGTAACTATTAAACATAGTTTAATTAAGTATACTAGATGTTCATGAGCTAAAAATAAGGAAAGATACTGTATTTGTCTCCCACAATAGAAATGAAAACAAGATAGGTAATTACTTCCAAGATAACTCATTTGAAGTATTTGAGACTTATTATAGGGTAGTACGGGATGAACATAACCCTCACCTGTGAGACACTGAGGGATATACATCATCATAGCTCCTTACATACAGTCAGTTCTACAGAGTCACACTCACTTTCCGTGCAATTTTTCTGTAAACCTAAAACTGTTCTAAAAAATATCTACTTTTAAAAACTTCACATCCTAAGGATAAAAATAAATAATATATCCATACACTCTAGTGCAATTCATTACAAGACAGCCTATACAAATCTTTATTTAAAGGGTTTCAGCTAATAAATAATAACTAAAAAGTTCACGATTTTAGGGCACAGCAGGACTTTAATAACCAACCAGACATTACGCATTATGAAACCGATACTCAGGGAAATTAAGCAAACTGATCAAGATCAAAGTTATCTGGTGACAATACAGGAATCAAAACTCCTTCAAGATCCGAAGTTGAGGAGCTCCTTCAGCAACGCTGCGTGCCATACCCTCTCAACCGAGATAATACGGCGAGAACAGTAACGATTCCAACACAAATGTAAGAGGGAAGACCGGAGAATGAGTAAAAGAACCACCCGTCGGCCAGCTGTGCTTCGTTAAATACCCTACTTTATCTACGTCTCCTCTGGCTAAGTTCTTAACTTGGTTGAGATAGAGGTTCCAAAGTTCTCCTAGTTCACAACTGGGCTGGCTCCAGGATACGCGCTGATCTGTCCCGCCAGATCCTCCCTCCCGGGGGGAAGCACCAGGAGTCTCCGAGATCTCAGTTCCTCAAGCTTCCCTTACCAGGTCCTGCGATTCTCTTCAGCCGCAGCTCTCCTGATGTCCCCGCGCGGGGCCGGAACCCATCTGTTGCAGCGGTTTGGGAACCTCAACTTTTTCTACCGCGGCCTTGGGAAGCTGCCTTAAATCCAAGCTTCCTCTAAATTCCTTTTTGGCGCGTCTGTGACGCAACTTCCGTTCGAGGAGGTAGCGGGACGGGAGGGGTGGGGCGGAGTGCAGCCAGTCAGGGAGTTCGGCCGGGCGGAAGCCGTGAGGTCTCCGGAAGCGGTCCAGAGGTCCGAACCGGAAAGCGGAAGCGGCGCCCAGCACGTGGGGGCGGTGCCGGTCGGAGGGCTGCAGGTCTCCCCGGTTGTGGGAAGTGAAGCTGCTAGTGGCGACGGCGGAGGAGGAGGGGCGGGGCACAGGAGGCTGGAGGGACGCCAGGGAGCACGGAGACCGGCTGAGCATCATGGAAGACTCAGGGGAGCAGCCGGGCCCACAGCCACCGCATCCCGGGGACCACCGCATCCGTGACGGAGATTTCGTGGTGCTGAAACGGGAAGATGTGTTCAAAGCAGTGCAAGTCCAGCGGAGAAAGTAAGTCAGGTCGCTGGCCTTAGGGGTCCCCCGCCCTAGATATCTCCTCCCTCCAGGTTTTCCCACAGACCCCTCCTACCAGAGTCTTATTCTTGGCTCTTTCGATCCCCATTTCTCGCCCTCGTTGTCTTCTCAGGTCTTCTAGTCACAGAGGAATTTTCCATCAGGATCCCATCCTCGGCCCTCGGAATCTCCCCTACTCCTCTCGTGTTCCCACAAAGCGCCCCTCCGTGATTTCATACCTGGCCTTCACCATCCCTTCCAGTTTTTCCACAGAGTCCCTTCCCCAGAGTTCCATTCTTGGCTGTTGGATGCCTCCCTCTCCGCCACCACTTCCCAGCCCCCATCCTGGGGTGTCCCCTCACCCCAGAGGGTGTCCCCCCCCAGTAGATCCTCTTTCTTTCCTAATCCCTCAGCCAAGGATCTAGCCCACAAACAATGAAACCTCTCCTATTTAGTGTGGCTTTCTGGCCTCTTACCTTGACCCAAACAGGATATGGGGAATAGAGAAAGAAGACTACTTCCCACAGAGTGTGGGATCACTTTGGCCTTCCCTCATTTTACACGACGGGATTCAAGGTCCGGAAAATTGCTCAAAAGCAATTCGCTCAAGGTCTCAGAACTCGAAATTGGGTTTGGTTTATGAACCTGCTGACCAGTATCACTCTGTTTGATACTAGAGAAGTGGGATTTTGATAACTTTCTGGAAGGGGTGGTGAAGTTGCTAAATCCTAATAGCTATTAATGGGGAAAATGACTTGGGATGTTTGCATTAATATATCTGAGAAGTACAACCAAGTTTTCTTTTGAGCTGGGTTATTACTTTTGACAAAGAAGTAAGTTGACTACAGTGTCAGGAGAACAACTTTTTGCAGACCATAAAGCTAGGTATTATGAGATTTGGAATTTCTGGTAAGTGCTCACTTCAGATGAATTATTTTACTCCTTTTTGAATCACATCGTTAAGATGAAGTGGATGTCATTAGAAAATAGTCCAGTAACAGTCCCCAAAGCACCAAGCTGGTGATAACCCAGCTTTTTTGCACAAGCACCAATTCAGTAAAGAAAAAAATATGAGGAAGAACGGTATTTCTTTTAGTCCAGAAATGTAATATCTTCATCAGCTTTTAAGCATTTTTAAATTCTTCATTAATAAAAGATTTTATATTGGTGGTTGAAATTAGAGAAATTTTTTAATTGTCCCTCATCGTTACTGTACTTTTGTGTTCTTGCAGTCAGTATTTTTTTCTTTTCAGAATTTTAAATTAGAATTTCAATGCCTGCTTCCTGCTTCCAAACACGTAATTTCTGGAGGTTGCTAATACTAATTATTTAAACTTTTTAATTGAAGTATAACACAGTGCAGCAGAGTTCTTAGATTATAAATTCAATGAATGAGCCCAGTGTTGCACATCTGTATAATGACCATCCAGGTGAAACTTTTTTTCTTTCGTTTCTCACATTGTTCTTGTAAGTTGCTTAATTTTCAAATGTAGTTGTTTGAATGTGCTTCTAATAATATACTCTTTTAGACTTTTTCATTAGCAAGGGGACAGAAAGAGGTTATTACCTCTTTCATTCTAAAAAGTACTCTTTAAACATTTATTTGGAAATACTTTTCATCAGGTCTTCTTCTTGACAGAAACCATAGTGGCAGTTTCCATTTTATTTAGAAAATGACTTGAGCTCAGCTATATCCCAGTCCAGATTCCCCCATCACCTTTCCCTTTGGACTGCGCTCATCTGGTTAGGGAGTAGTCCTGGCTCTCTGAGGATGAGGCTCTGCAAATCTTACTCCTTCCCAGTGAAGATGTGACCCCAACGTCCCTCTGACTTGGCCCCACTTTCCTGACTGGGGCAAGAACCTCCTGTGAGACCAGCCAGTTTAACATACCTCATCCCCTTTGGACATCACTTAGGCTGGCAGAGGGGTGAACCCAAGCCAGCTCAGATTCAGTATTTCAGTAGCACCAAGATGCTTGAAGTATGATGGTGTGGGATGCACATGTGGACTGAGCTGAGTTTTGATTTCTGAGAGGGTTTATGTTAGCAAATATTTTGAGTGTGTGTTATGTCCTGTTCTGTGTTAATAACCAGGGATCCAGCAAAGAACAAGAATTGTCCCTGTCTGGATCATTTAGGATCTTGAAGGATTTCATTCTAATGGTTTAAGTAAGCTTTAATGAAGATGTGACAAATAACACAAAGGTGTGGCAGGATGTATGGAAACAATAAAGGTGATGCACCCAGGAACTAGCAATGGTGGTAAGCCTTTGACTAGGGAGCCTGGGTGACGTGACAATGCATTCTGTCATGGTCAGCCTCCAGGGGCACAGAAAAAGCAAGAGAAGGGATGGGGTGGGGCACAAGCAGAATTACCACATGTCTCCCAGAGTTCTGTGTTCTGTGCACGTGGGCCATGTCCTGAAGCTAGGCAGGGCTTCCAAGGTCCTTAGGTCTTTTAGGGTAGACTGTGTGATGCAGTGGAAAGAACCAGGATTTGAGGTCAGACAGACCTGGATTTGAATCCCAGCTCCAACACTTTGTAATTGTTAATCTTGGACAAGATACTTCTCCCTGGGCTTCAGATTGCTCATCTGGAAAGAGCTATGTCCCAGGGTTACTGTGAGAATTAAATCAAAAAGTATAAAACATACCTGGCACACACTGCCTAGCCCCTGATTGGCACTCAACAGATGTTAGTTTTCTTTTGAGGGGAAAGGTTTGTGTTTTTGTGGGATTTCCCTTTTAAATTGCAATAAGATAAAAATCTGAGTAATAGGAAAACCTCAATTGTTTGGTCCTCAGTAGAGCAGTGTCAGTGTTAGGCTTCATTTCTAAATATGTAGATTGTCAATAAATATAATTTGCTTTTATTAGGTAATTTTCAAATAAAATGACCAGTTAGACCAAGCCCAGGGAATTTGTTAAATCTTTGTCGTCTCAATGATTGTTCAGTTTTGAGATTTTTCTGGTGTAAATTGCAAGGGGTGTCATAGTACATGTCCAGTGGCCTGGCAACATTGGTGACCCTGCCTGCTGGTCAGGAAATCCACAGAGCCTGTGAGTTCAGACATTCTGATAGACAGCATGAAGTGGTGTCTGACCAATGCCCCAGAAGAGGGATGTCTTCTGTCTTTGCTTCCTCTTTCCAAAATTCATTGTTTTTGTGGCTTCTTTATTAATTTTGTGTCTCTACCCCAACCTGGATCTCTGTAGTTCATCTGTTGCTTTGTGTTCAGACATAGTGCTGCTGATCATGTATTGTGGAGACTGCTTTTGAAATAAACTAGAATGAACATGTCTTTTCTATACTGAACACAAAATAAATCAGTTAATTGATTGTTTTTTCTTCCCCAGGAAAGTAACTTTTGAAAAACAATGGTTCTACCTGGATAACGTCATTGGCCATAGTTACGGAACCACATTTGAAGTGACCAGTGGAGGAAGTCTTCAGCCCAAGAAGAAGAAGGAAGAGCCTACTTCAGGTGCACCATTTTGAGGGTTTGAAATAGTGCTGTCCAACTGGCTAGTCAGAAACATGTCAACTTCCAATGAATTCCAAAGTGCTAGCCTATCCGAAGAGAAATCTTAACTTATAATCTAAGAACTATGACTAGGTGGAATGAAGCCAGTACTACCTTTGTCCATGAGATTATCTGGATTCTGGCTCCAGCCCATAATTAACTGGTTCTCTGACCTTGGGCCAGGCATTTAATGCCATGAGTCCTTGTTGCTTCATTGCAAGAGCATGCATAGAACTCATTCGGTGCCTACAAGTTAAGTAACAGCTGCAAGGTACTTAGCATGTAGTGTAGAGGTTGAGAGATCTGACTTTGAATCCAACTAGGTAAGTTTAATTTCCAGTGTCATCACTTGCTTTGTAACCTTGAGTAAATTATTTCATTTCTGTAAGTCTTATATCCTTATATCTGTAAAATGGGGCCATAAACATACTTAATGCTGAGGTTATAGTGAGTGTTCAGTACTCTAACTCATAGGAAGTTCTGAACAGTGCCTTGCTTTTAGCAGGGACCCATAATTTTAGCTATTATTATTATTTTTTTAACAACTTCTATGTCTAAAATCTGTTGTTAATTAAAATTAAATATTTATTAAAATGAACATACTTAATAGTTTTATTAATAAAATAAAAACACCTAAACATTTAAAGTTAAATAATTAAAGTATTATTAATATTTTGATTCAAATCAGTTATTTAGATGCTCTTAAATTAATATCCATATTTTTACTAAGCACTAGATATGTGCCAGACATAACGAGGCACTGCAATTATAGCAGTTCATAAGATAGACTGTCTTATAAAATGTACTTACCAGTGGGAAACACCAAAAATAATCAAGTAGACAAGCAAACAGCATAATTTGTGATGGCGATACGTGCTGGAAAGTTAATAAAGCTGGGCATGTATTGGAGCCTGCTAGGGGGAAGTGAGCCTTGCTGAGAGGATGAGCTCAGCTTTGAGTGATGGAA